GGGAACTGTCTGGGTATCGGTCGGCGGGTGGTGAGCAATTGCATTGCGCATCACTTGCTTCGTGTATCATTATTATTATTATCATTATTATACTGTTACTATTAGCATTACTATTTTACTTTATTTCAATTAGTAAACTGTTCTTATCTCAGCCCAGGAGTGTTTCTCACTCTTACTCCTCCGATTCTCTCCCCCATCCCATCGGGGTAGGGGGAGTGAGCGAGCGGCTGCGTGGTGCTTAGTTGCTGGCTGGGGCTAAACCACGACACAGTTCTTTACTAAAGATTATTAATTAGCCATTACCAAAAGAAATCTTTGTAAAGACTTCTTTTAGTAATGGTTAAAAGCCTCTTTAGAAATTAGATCTTCAGAATATGTAAGTGAAGACAAGAAAAAGCAATTCTGATATGTATTGAATAAATTTAATGGAATCAGGTAAATAAGGGTAACTTAGTATCTTGATCTTCCAGCAGGAAAATAGGTTCTAGGTTAACATGCTGAATTACCCTATTTGGCATGTTCTTAAAGCAAAATATTTTCTGTGCAAAAGTAACATCTTTTTTGGCAATAAAAAATAAAAATACTTTTGCTAATAAGAAAATAGTTCACTTTTAAATTGCTTCATTTTTAAAAATGTTCGTAAACGTGCCATCAGTAAGCCTTAGAGCTAGGGTGGTAGCAATAAGTCCTTACATACTCTAATGGGACATCTGCTGCACCCCGCAGTGCTGCTTCCATCTTCTCCATTGTGGCAGTCCCATCAGAATTACCTTGGCCCCGTTTAGTCTGCCTTTGTTATCCTACAAAAACTAATATGAATATGGTTTGGGAGACTAAGGTTGTCCCGAAGTGGAATCTCTTTCTACCCTCTGTAAATGCCTCTACTTGCAGCTGAAAGAAACTAGGGTAGCAATGCTCAAAACTAGAAGCTTTTTGGAGCTTTTTTGGCAGAGGATTAAAGTGTCCTTGAACAAACTTGAGCAAACTTCCTGTGTACTGAACAGCAAGCTAATTAAAAAGTTGGTGTGCTAAACACTTCACGCACAGGGAAGGCAGGCAGAACCCTTGCAGGGGAAGGCTTCTTAAGGGGGTTGAAGAATGTGGAGGAGACAAGGTAGCATAGTGAACAATGTTATTCCAGGAGAAAGCCACCTTATCAAGCAGCAACAAATGTGATTCTTCCTCTAGATAAACTAAGGCTGACTATTGCACAGTCTTGCTGTGGGATGGTGAAGTAGCTGGATGGCACTGGTGTAGAAGATGTAGATTAATAGGCCACAGGTTCAAGCACAGCGTAGTGTGTATCTGCCTTATGTCATCCTGGAATTTTTTGTATTCCAGAAAGCTTTACTAGTCCTGGCCTTTGGCGGAAGACACAACAAGTTTGCCAGCACTAAAGATCTCATACCTTTCTTAGTAAAAACAGAAAATTAACTGGCAGAGCTTTGCTTCCTACTGGTTTACAGCATGTTGTCGTTAGCTGCATTTTTGTGTACATTAATGTAATATGATGTTTCTTGAACCTTCCATAGGAAGAGCTATATTTGACTAGAAATTACTTGTGAGGAGAACAGGGACCACGAGGAACAATGACACAGGAATAAATTTCATGAGACAGGGTTGCAGTTTGCATGTAGAGACTTATGTGCAAATATAGCAGAAGTTTCTCTCTTCTGCTTCAGCATAAACACTAACAGTGCTTTGTCTCATCTCTAATTTGAAACTAAATACACCCAGTTTGTGGGCATACAGTTTTAGTTCTGAAACTAGAATATGGCAACACATGTCAAAATTCTAAAAACTACTTCTGAAACTACTTACTTCTTCACCAAGTACTTAATATTATTTGAGGAAAGATCTAGTTTGTCCTGCTGGGGTGGGGGGAGGAAGCGTGCTTCCGATGAGCCAGATGACTTCTGTGGAGAAAGCAAATTGATGCTTTTGGTATTATTGGAAAATGAAAGTGACATTTTTTTCCCCTCAAGAAAGATTACTCATCCTTATAAATAAAGGAGGAGTCAATATTGCTAGTGTCCCTTTAAGCAATGAGTGAAACTTGTTTTCCTTTATGTTCAATGTCCTCTCATTATTCACGTTCAGTAGTTGCTTACTAGCTTTGATTGAATTTTACAGCATTCAAGTTGTAACTATTAAAGCAGAAAGCACTTCAAAGCAGTATTTTGATGAAAATTTGTTCCTAAATAGCTTTATTAAACTCCTAATGGCCTGTTTTTGGAGTCTGAGGTAGAATTTGCTGTCATGTGTGCTAGGTTAGGCTAACAGTACTTTGGCATGACAGCTTTGGTGTGAAATTTTATTTTTCATTGATTAGTGATTTGCTCTAACTTTTGCAAGAAAGGTTAGACAGGCTTAAAGATACCTTTACAGGAAATGGTCTTAATCTCAGCTGTTTCTCATCATTTAATTAAGTGTGGAAAGTGTGCTACATAGAAGTCTTACTGTTCTGCATTTTAGTTATTTTCAGGGGGAGAGACAAGCAAGTATTTGCTGTTACTAATAATAACATTTCCTAAATGAAACTAATTCATACATTTAAAAAAAAAAAAAAGAAAGAAAAAAGTGTGCTAATGAGGTTGGAGAAATTACTATGAGCATACTTCAAATTTTGAGATATCGATGTCTCGTATTAACAAGGTATGCACCCACCCCAAAAAATCTTTTGCTAATGTTGCTTCTTTGGGCAACAAGACAATAATTCACATGTAGAATAAGGTGGTAAGATGTGAAAAGAATCAGAGGTCCACTTAACATCCACTTATTCTGTAGTCTTTATTTAGGTGTCATGTGGAAGATAAATAGAATGAGGAACTAAAAAGAAATTGTTTTTCTTTTTAGGGAGGGATTCGCATATAAATTATAAGAAAAACATTTACAGGCTGTGTAGGTTAGAGCCTCTTTGATAAAGAAGTATCTCTGTACTCTGAAGTCATGCATAGCATGGTGTGAAATAGAAGGAGCATTACTTACAGCCAAGAGTTTTGGCTCGGTGTTTTTCAGTCCTCTTAAATTATCGGAACTTGAATATGTGTAGTGGCTATCTTCTCTAAACACAGCATTTTGTAAGGCACTGGACAAATGCTCTATTGCTGTTTGAGCCAATCTTTTAAGTACTGCCCTGCATAGAATGACATAAAATATGGGGTTAAGAAAAAGTAGTACTCTGTTTGTTTATAATAATGAGCATGCAATATACTCCTTAGGTAACACCATTTCCAAATACGGGATTTATCAATGGGTTCACATCTCCAACCTTCAAGCCTGCTGCTTCTCCGTTGACTACACTCAGACAATATCCTCCTAGGAACAGGCAAGTTCAACCATCTTTTAAAAATATACATACTATTTTATTATGTAGCATGTGGGGTTTTAATCTGCTTATTTTAGTAACACCAGCTAACTTGAAAATACTAGTGAAATTGAACCTGGTGCAAGGTTAAGTGAGGCCAAAGGGCAGGTGCTGCTGCTGTTGTGAGTGGATGTCCTGTTTCTAAATGTAAATGGACTGTCTGAAAGCTGAGAACTTGTCTGCTCCATGATTTAGGGTATTCAGATGAAATATTCTGAATGATGGCATGTAATCATCAGGACTATTCCTACAGTATTATCAGTTTCAAGTAGTTTTTAGTAAAGGCATAGTTGAAAATAGACAGTGAAAAGGTTAATTTTTATAATTCACATGACCTGTTAAAATGAATACTATCATTCTTAAAAAATGAAATATGCAATAAAGGAGTGAAGATCTTGCTTCTTCTGAATCCTGTGTATAGACTTAGGCCTCAGAAGATCTCTCATAGTGCGTATGTTGAAATGACTTTTGAATTTGTAGGAATCCTAGCAAGTCTCATATACGACATACAATACCCAGTGCAGAAAGGGGACCTGGGCTTCTAGACAGTCCTACAATATTCAACTTTTCTGCTGATCGTTTAATCAATGGCGTCAGGAGTCCACAGACGCGGCAGCCGGGACAAAACAGGACACGGATGCAGAATGCTACTACGAGTTATACCAAGAGGGAAGTAGGAACTGGACGGATGGAACAGACCAGCCTTGACTCGTCTCCTGGATTAGGTAGAGGAAGGTGAGTGTACTCTGTAGCTGTCCTCTGAACAACTTGCTGTTGCTGCTTCTAAATGACTTCTTTTAGTAATGAGGTACGGTACTGTTCTCATTACTATTTTAAACTGAGACTGTCTCTCCTCAGAGCTAAAATCTTGGAAAGTACTTCAGAGAAAGTGCTAAGTATAGAACAAATGCAAAGTGGGCTTGCATACTTTCCTACCAAATGAAAATCATTAATGGCAACTGATGAACAATTTACAGCCATAAGATCTAATTCTCTATCCTTTCTTCATCTGTTGTAAGAAAGTTTTTGCATATTATTTGTCTGGCTTTAATGAAGCAGGTTTGTCCATTCCATTGTTCAGCAGTGTAGATTGTGCACCTGAACCTGTACTAGCAGTGCTCATTGTTAATTTTTTCAGTTGAAAGATCAGAATTTTGCTCAAAGTAGACATTTACAGCAACAAAGATGATGGATTGGTATGGAGGGAGGAAAAAAGATTACATGCAACGAAGAAAAGTATTGTTAAGCAGCTTTAAAAACAAACAAACAAAAACAAAAAAAACTACTTGGGGAGCTGAAAATCAGTGGCACCAATATTAATGTGAGAATTTAGCAGGCTTATCTTGGAATTTTTTTAAATACAGTACGGTTTTAATAAGTGCTTTATAAAAGTACTGTGCAGCTTCGTTTAATGATGGCTGTGTTTGTGTCTCCAAGTAAATCACATTTTGACTGACTTACTGACTTGTAAGATAACTTGAGTCTTTTGAGATGATCCAATATAAGACTTGGATTGTATCATTGCAAAATTAAGTGGGGATTTTGTGCAAGGGTTGTAATACTTTTCTAAATCTAATTTGCCAAACTGTGTTATAACTAGTGGATGAAAGTGTGATTAAGGACATAGGAAACAAGATTGCTCAAACTATAGACTACAAAAATGTACAGGAATAGTCAGTACTTAGTTTTATATTCCAATGTTTTTGTATTGAGTCTGTTTAGAATATTAAAAGTCAAACAGAAAACTTAAAATATATTGAAACCCAGTTAGAATGCATGGCAAATTTTAAACTGCTGCTTGGTGGGGCTTTACCTGAAGCAGTGCTGGGGGAGAAGCACTGAAAATAGTTAGCCATATTTCAAAAGTTACATAGGTATCAAAAAAAAAAAAAAGACAAGACTAAAACCTTTGGATATCGAAAGGTTTTGTCTAAGCCTTATATGTAATCAGCACTGAGATGTTTCTAGTGCAGGAATTATTTGTAACCAGTGCATTCTTATGCTGACTTGTATAAGATCTGTACTTTTATTTTAATGAGAGCTTGCTAGAAATTTTTCCCTAAAACATTTTTAATAACCTGTCTAGAATGAAGATGGATGAAATAGCAATTTGAATTCGTTTCTCCTGTTTTCACCAACTGCCTTCCATTCATTTATAGGCAAGGTTCTGATAACTGCTTTCTTTCCCTTAGGAAAAACTCATATGGCTACCGAAAGAAAAGGGAGGACAAGTTTACAGTGAGTGTTCATGGTCATATACATCATCACGTATAATAAAAGTAGGGTAACAAGGCGATAGCATGGATATTATGTGGAGTAGCAGGTGATGTAAGTTACTGCACAAGCAATTGTATGTCACAGTTGACTGAAGACAGCAGCTCATGGAGGCACCTGAGTTTACTGCATTTGGTTGTCAGAGAAGATTGTCCATTAATGCAGAAGTCAGGAAAAAGTTAAAATTACTCTTCTATAGTAGCAAAATATTTCCATCTTAGTGTTACTGTGTCAGCATGCCAGTGTTCACATTCAGGGAGAGCTAAATAGCTAAGCTAAAGTTCAAAACACTTGATACTTGGTTATCCTTCATATAGACATTGAAGAATATTTTATAGATCCATGTGTCATAATGTATAGCTAGAATGTTACTTATTAAGTAGTCAGTTCTGTTTCTTAAATGCCTCTCCAAGTACCACTTGGTAAGGGTGTGCTAACACTATTGAAATATTACAGTTTTGGTAAACTTAAATTCAAGGTGAATACCTAAATAGCCTTGATACTTGAAAAGGCTGGACTAGACATTGTGTAGAAGACAAACAATGTGATTTTTTTTTTGTAGGACTTAAGGTTTTATTTGATAAAACCAGACACTTCTCTGCAATTCATTTTTGCCACACATGGCATGTTCCTGAAGTTGAACCAGATTATTTCCTTATTCATGTTACAGGGGCAAAGTAACCCCATTACATGAGCCGTAACACTTTCTTGAAGGTCTGGATTTGTTGCATTTGTGTATTTGTGGCTCCTGCTGTTGGGTAGCCTTGAGGGACTTGGATAAAGGAGCATCAAGGTTTGGAAAGCATAAAATGACAAGTGGTTCCTTCCCTTTAGTTTCTTTTCACGTCAAACATCTCAAAGCTCAGTGAGATCACATTACATGTAGGATTCTCAATATTTCTTTCTTTTGCCCTTTCAAAGCTGCTTGAATTTTTAGATTGATGTTTTTCCTGTCAACATTTTTTTCTGTCTTTGAAAAAACAAGGAAGTGGTACAGGTTAGGCATGTGCATGAGTGGCTGGAGTGAAAGGATTACCTTGGAGACACTTACTGAGCAGAGAGGCTCTTCTGGCTCAGCTGACTTTAAAGGTTGTTTTAACTTTGAATGTAAAACTGGTAGACATGACTTCTTTGGAGAGCCACGGTTCCCTTCTCTTAGCACCAGTCTTTAACTGCACCCTGTGCAGCCAGGTTCCTTCTAGTCTGTACTGTCCAGTGCTGCAACTTGAACAGAGGCAAGAGCTGCTGCACACTCACAACTGTGTACACTGGGAAGAAGCATACTCTGAAGTGAAAGATTAAAATTTGACCTCTTTAGACTGTGGAAATAATTGAATCCAGGATCCTGTTTCTTGTTTGATGCTAGTGATTAGGTAGTGTACACAGGACATCACTACAACCAGTTGTATTTGAATGGAGTGATGACTTCTTCTGATTTTTTAAAGGAAAAATTAGAGAGAGTATGCATGCTTGCATGAGAAAGAGCATGAACCTTTTTGATCAGATTGTATCTGAGGCTATAGACATAAGCAAATTACTCAACTTGTCATAACAAGTTGACTTGAGAAATTTTATGCATTTGGCAGCTTAAAATCCACTTAAGTCCTCCCTGGTTTCACTAATTTAAGATGTTAATGCTACTTGTCTCTTAATATGTTGGGTTTTTTAGGACTCATCTGTATAACTTGAAATGCTTGTAACAAATATAAAAGCATTATCTGTTGCAGCACTTCAGTCCCCTTTAAGAAAATTAAGTGCTGTGATTTGAAGAACTGTTCTTAAAAAAAAAAAAAAAATTGTTCCTCTTGCAGTTTGAACTGGGTAAGTGTTGTCTCTCTCTGTGACTCTTTGACAGGTCATCTGACTTCTATTTTTGGAGGTTTGCAGCCTCCATTGCTGTAGCACTCTTTAAACTGTGTTCTGAGGGGTAATGCTGGGTCAGTAGCAGTCCTAGGAGTTAGAGTTGTTCTTGCCTCTGTATTTATTCTTTCCCT